CTGTTATTCCCAAAGTCCAAGTTTTATTTGAAATGCGGAAATAAGATCACATATTTTATTAATTAGTAAATCTATCTCTAGTAAACAAGATGACACTCTGTCATCTAGATGTCCTATATCGACCAGAAATGAAAAGTCGCTAGACCACTTCTTGTCTTTAAATTATGGACTACTTTTTGACGTGCTTGCAAAGAATAATTGTATTTTTTCTTCAAATCAACCACCCTTATTAATATTTTGGCACGACTTAGCCATCTTACTTCTGCATAAAATGTAACGTTATTATACTGCAAATCCAGAAACTTGAGAAACAGTAATAATATTGCATTGAGTTAAATACTTTTAATTTTATCTACTTTTTAACAAAAGTTAACAAAAATAAACAAATATGAAATCCTCCAACAAGTCCTCTTGACAAGTACTGACCTGACAACGAGTTCCCATCCGATGTGCTTAGAGTCCCGTAACCGTAACCATAATCTGCTGACATGACGACTTTCTTCTTTTTTTATATATACTTGTAATTAAAACATTTTTCGAACAATAGCTTGTTCATTGGCGGATTAATGCCTCTATCTAAGGTTGCCATTCCATCTTTTGCTCTATCATCCGATACTTCTTCTTTGCCGATTTGTGACTTATCTCTTGCTGTTTTGACTCCATTCTGCTTATGTGGATATTTTATTTTTTTTCTATTTTGCTTAATTTATTTATACACTGTACGTTACATTTTCTTCTAATGTGTTTACTTTTCTTTCGATCTCTTAGCGTATTTCCCGTAATTTTTCTCAGTACTCTCATCTCTGACGTTTTCAGTAGCCTTTGCGTTGCGGCTGTGTCGGGTCTTGTTTCTGAGGCATGTGTTATTATTGCTCTTACACTGATTTTATAAATTTTTGACTTCATCTTAGTGTTAACTTGTTTGTTTTCCCATATAGTATTATTAAGGCATCCTGCCAGTCTATTTGCTTTTTGTACTTAATCTCTCACTTTCCATTACTTGTTTAATACTGATCCCATCAATTTTTATTTTTTACATCTGGTTAGTTCTTTGTTGACTATTCTTGTTTTAGTTTTCTGAGACAAGATTGTCATATTAAATTCTTTTGCTCTTATGTGAAATCTGTAAACCAGTCTTTTCAGACTCTCTTGATCTTGGACCATCAATATTGCGTCGTTTGCATAACAGAGTATTTTTTGTTGCCCATTTTGTATCCTCTTCCATTGTTAACGCATTGGTTATTTCATACACGATCAAATTAAAGAGCATGACGCCCAATGAATCCCCTTGTCTTATTCCTCTGCCTATTTCTATAGGTTCTGTAACTTTTCCGACTATTCTGAGCTCCATTTTGTTGTTTTGGTATTATTGCATTTAGTAGTCATTGCGCACTGAAAACCTTTTGAGTCAAGCGCTAGTTCTATTTTCAGCATTCATCTAGAACGTTGAAGGTTTATCTACTCTACAATTCCGATTCCCAAATAAGGAATTCAGTGAGCGATCTTAAAAAATATACAAAATCAGCATTCTTTTTAATTTAGGAATGGTCTCAAGTGACAACTGTTTTGCTGACCACCTCCTCATTTTTTCCTGCACTAAATAAGATCTGAGTGCTTTATCTACTCTTTCCAGAATTTTACCTGGAAAATGTTTTACTTGTAAAGTGGATATTAATATTGAACGCCAAGTAAATCAATAAAGATCACAGAGGGAACGAGGAAGACATCAGATGAGATGAGACAAGCAGAGTATCAATAGCATTTTTTTCTTATGATGGCTATCCGCTTCCAAATATTGGCGATCATAACCGTTCTGTTTACTTTGCCTCAGCACATAACAGACAGTAGGCTTTGTAGCCTAGATCGATAGCACAGAATAATGGTAAGTGAGGAAAGAAAGAGAGAGGGAGAAATGGACAATATTCGACGTAAATGGACTAAGAATACATAAAACGATAAATAAAACTTATACAAATCGTTTTTTATTTTTTATTTAGCTTTTTATCTAGATTTTATAAAAACAAAACAAATTTTAGTTTTAATTGGTCTCGAAAAGTTAAATTATATTTTCTGTCATAATAGCAGTAAAATTAGTTTCTTTTAGAATATTCTAAAATTTTTATAGTGCCATAGAAGAGCCTTTGCTAAATATTTTAAAAGAAAAATTAACAGTTTTACTACTTTTATGCATATTTTTAATATCTCCTTACATCGTTTGGTCCTGGAACTAGAGATTACTCTACCTTGTCAATAGAAACAAGGGTAAGCTGTGATTCACAGGACCATAAGCAACTTAAAGTTAATGGCACCAGCGTTGTGATTTTTAATAAGTAAAACTTAAACCTACCTAAGAATAAATTAGTTTTGTTACATCACAATTTTTTGCTTACAACTACAATATTTTGTGTTATTAGTGCGTCTCAAAAATAAATACTTTTTATCTAAGTAATTTACAAAACTTTCCATAAGTTTCTAATAAATATCTACACCAAAAACAAACATATATATCATGTAAATATCATGAACATACCCAGAAAGAATGCACTAGTAAAAATTATGGATAAAACTTCCTGTTACTTTTATATCGACAGTTAAAGAAAAAATTAAGCAAAAGTTGTTGAGTTCAATAACTCCCCAAAGAACACAGATGTACTGGCGTATGCCTGTCGAAGATCAAAGTAAGAATCTGAAGGTGGCATACGCTTGCCTTTGAAAATAAAATTAAGGTTAGGTTCCTTGCTTTTTTCGTACAAAAAGTCCAAGGTAAAATTGGAGAGATTGCACAAAAAAGTAAATTAGTTTTACGTAGGAATCCGAATGGAAATTCGTGCACATGAAAAAAACATCAGAGGGGTAATATGCTGAATATTAATAAGACTGGGAAAATAAATTTCAGCATAGCAGTTGTTTTCCACCAGTATGTCAGAGATAACTGACGTAAAGCAGTCTCTGACACCACATTTTTCTAGTGGGTCGGGTTTATTGACCACATAACCTTTCCATTGGTCATTTAGGTCACGTGACCAAAAAATCCAGCCATTAAAAAGAGATACAGGAACTGCTTTGCGTCAGTTTTCTCTGTCGCACTGGGGGAATGACGCTGTATTACAATGGTTGGTTCTTTTCTATTATATGTCTATGTTTATAACCAGGATATTTTATAATCCTAAAATGTATTTAAGAAAAAATTATTTTCCTCAGCACAAGACTTCCCAGTAGATTTTATTGAAAGAACATGGTATGGTAGTCTCACGTCTAAGCACAAGCCATAATAATCGCCTCGTCTAAGTCATAAAACGTCTGCCGGGACCAGACAAATATAACAATAGAAAATAATACCATAGAAAATGTTGAACATTGTGTATATCTATGTCATGTCATCAAACTAGGAAAACCCAATCAAGATACTGAAATTAAAATAACACAACTGGCATGAGTCCATCTTGAAAAACACATTCCTGTAAACTTAACGAAAAAGGTATATAACACATGCATACTACCAGTTTGTACCTAAGGCTTGGAGACAGTAGCCCTTACCAAAAAATTTACTAAAAAATTAGAAACAACGAAAACAGCAATGGAACGAATCATGCTTGGAATATCACTAGAGACAAGGTTAGAAACACCGAGATATGACGTAGATATTGTGGAAGAAATTTCAAAAACAAAATTTCGCTGGGCATGTCACGTAGCCCGATATAATGACAACAGGTTGACACGGAGAATTCTAGAATGGAGAACAAGGACAACAACAAGAAGCATACGATGACCTCAAAAAAATAGGTAGATGATATAAGAGCAGTGGCAGGCAAACAGTGGATTAGATTGGCGCAAGATAGAGAAGGATGAAAGCATTTGGGAGAGACCTACATTCAGGAGTGGATGGAAAATGGTTGACAAAGAGAAGTTTTAAAAAAAGAAAAGATATAATTATTCATTTCATGAAAAAGAGAAAATTGCAATAATGTGATATTTCTTATAGGCTGTAAAAACAACAAAAGAGGCATCAGAAACATATGCACATGGCTAAAAATTTTAAATAAATAGAAAATAAATGATGTACTAACTTTAGCACAACATATAAATGTTCATCAGATAATAACTACTAGCCTCAAATAATCAAAAGGTACATGTAAACTACATAGTTCTTTTGATTGTAATATTATATCAAGACATCTACATATTTCCTGGATATACAAGTTTTTGGAAAACGTGGCAGTAAATTACACCACTGTCAATCATTTTTTAGGTTTTGGTAGGAATATTTCAAAACTTACATAAGCATTCCGTTGTTCTAAGGAAAACAATAAGCATTCCAACAAAGTCTTTTACTATTGCAAAAACTAGTTTGACTCTGTCTTGCTATGAGAACTTACTGCAGAGCAATAAATGTTTTCAGTAATGTCGGATTTCGTAGTATCGTTCGTAGATTGACGTCACCAAAATGAGTGAGTCAGGTTCATGAAATGTTTAAAACTATCTATACCAAACAATATGATCCTACTATTCATTAATTTCTGGTTTTGGTGTAACATATGAAAACAATATATAAAACAACTTATATTTAAAATATTTCCCCTAATCTAATAAAGTGTCTTATGTGTTTTAGCTTAAGAAAAACTGTATAATTATATATTTTTTAAAATTGATAGAATGATTTGTATAATGTTTTGGAACCTAAACTCTGTTCTCTTGCTTAATCGATCAGTTTTGTCTCCATCCCGAGTTTCTCTCTGATATACCTACTGGATAGTTTGCCAGTCCTTTTAGGGATTTATCCACTTAACTGATATTTTTTTCATAGGTTGTTTTGTTTCTTGATTTCCTTGTAACTCATCTTCAAAATCTATTTCCGTAGCCAGCAATTTGGTCAAAATTTCCAAGTCTCGGAATCATCGGTATGAGGGTACCATTATATACCATTATTTTTTTGTTTTTCATAGTTGTATTTTTTTGCCATACTATCGATGTATGGGCGTTTATTAATTTTTTCCTTTTTTGCTTATTCCTATTCTTATTATTTTAAGGCAATGCTTTGTTTTTCGAAGTTGTAGCCTAAATTAGGATTTTGGTGTCCAATTTCTTACACACCAGCGTTTGGGGGGTCTTCTGGGTGGTCTGCTAGTATTGGTTTATTCTCTATTGTAATCATTGCCAGTCTATAATTCTATTAAACTGGTCTTTTCATCATGTTTTTCTGACTCTAGACCATTTTGCAACATGTTGGTGTTACAAGCAGTGGAAAAGGTAGCAACATTGTATGAGTTATTTAGTAACACTAAATTCTCTCATTGGATATGTATTACCCTTCATTTATTTGTGCGTGTATGTGTCTGTATGCAGATCTTTGATTGTTTTTATGGTTTGATTATATGTATTTCTTCCACTAGTTCTAACTAATTTTCTTGAGATCTTTCGAAATTTTTTCGATTACTTGCAACAAGCTAAATAGCTATCAATCGTAGGTACGTCTACTCGACATTTATTCTCTTTTTGTAATTGTAATTGTAATTGTAGTAATTGATATTTTGGTCTACGCAAATTATAGTCTACCAAAAAAGGTTTTTTTAATCCGCCTATGAAATTAACTCACAATATTACAGGGAACTATTGCAGTTGTATTTAGCAAGCTTTTTAAAGGTTGAAATATTCAATCCTTCTTTCCTTAACAAATGCATAGTTTCTTCATTAAGACATCTTTAAAAATTTTTTCTCAAAATACAATAATTTTTTGTATTTTGATACCTTCTAGTTCTTCTTCTTCTTTAAGTGCTGTCTCCCAATCGGAGGTTGAATATCATCATCACTATCTTTACTTTATCTACTGCTGCTCTAAAGAGATCTATAGAACTGCATCATAAATTATTCAACCATGATACTCTTATTCTTCCTATACTCCTTCCTCCTCTTATCTTTCCCTGTATTATCAGCCTTAGCAGTTCATATCGCTGTCCCCTTATTACGTGTCCCAGATATTGCAACTTTGTTATTTTTATTGTGTTTATTATTTTGCATCCTTTGCCCATTTCTTTATGTGTTCTTGCTTCAATGTCCAGCTTTCAAGTCCTTCTAGTTTATTTTCTAGTTCAGGTATACTTATTTTTTTAAAAATTGTTTAAATAACTGCTTTTTCCACCTTTTTTAAGGTGATATCTGTCAAGTCCCATTCTAATGTTAGAGTTTTCTGGGGAATATTCCGGTTTTTTTCTCTTCACAATTCTATTTGGGTGAATCCTAATGTTCTACCCATTTAGATATTGGTTTTTATTCCTCAATGGTACTTTTCATATTTTCTTTGATCTTTGATTACGAACAAATCTTACTAATTCCTTAGATTTCATATCTTCTGTGAACCTATTATCTGTCTGTAGTTTGATCTGTTTACTGTCTTCTTGCTTTGAGGCTTATAGTAACTGCGCCGCCTCTCTTCGAATGTTGTCGATCCAATTGGCTGTAGTTAAGTGTGAAATAGAGGCGCTGAAGACCTTGGTCCTTGAGCCAGGAATTTTGTCTTGTTTCAGTTGACATTTTTTCCTGAACTTTTCTTTCAATAATCAACAAAAGTAGTTCGTATCTATATCCCTTCATTGCATGCACAATGTTTGCGTTATTTGATCGTTAGCACCAGATCCTTGTTCTTGTATATTCTGTTATACGAATACGAGGAAATTTTAAGTATTATCCGCTAAAAATATATTTAAAAAGTTTTCATGCATTTTCTAGCGAGCGGTTAAGAATCCAGCTCCAACTGACGTAGAGAAAAATATTATAATACATAACAGCATGGCATTCGGATTCGAAATTATTTGTCTAGATCCCCCTGATGGACAGTTTTTCATTCCAATAAACATCTTTCTAGAGTGTTTAATAATTGATAGGACATCTTTCGTTAGTGCACCTAGGTATCTGACGTATGACACCTATTCAACAATTCTGTCAAGTATTAGGAGTTTTGTAATTTGGAGAAGTCCATAAGTTTTATTTTGGTGATAGTTATATATAGGCCATAACGCGTACTAAAGCATTTCTCATGACTATCTTCTGCGACATGTTACTCTTTAGCCTCACTTGAGTTATCTGATATCAATATAGTTCTGTGATGATAAGGAAGTCATTCTCATCTATACTCGTTGCTCTGAGTACTGGAAAAGATGTGAAATAGTCTGTAATTAGGCATATATTTCCACATTTATGTCACGGGATCTCTATAAAAATATATTGAGTGAGAATAGAGCCTGACTAGGTGACTAGTAGTAGTAAGTACTTGATTTGAGTTTTTCTGTAGTATTGCAATGAAGTTTTTGATGTTTTTGTATTTGAGTATACAATGATACATACAGAAACATAGCCACAAAGTAGTGGCATCGCACTGAATTCATTTATTTTAGATTTTTAAGTTTATATAAATATCTTACTCATTATTAATAAAATTCTTCTAATAGTTTATGATTAGGTTCCGTTTCATCGATTTTTTAAAAGTAATTTTATTAGTAAAATTTATAAATTTTGATAATTATCATTTTTAAGTTTAATAAAGCCTTGTGGCTACAGAGTAGTAAAATAAATTGGCTATATTGTATTCAATAAAGCTAAAACAAATATGGAAAATATTTTAAAAATAAACATATTCACATATGATCTGACACTCCGTGTTGTCTTACACTTATGGCAGTTGTAATATGATTTCCTTTAATTTATTTTTATTTCGATATTATTCGTATATCGTCTTCGATTACTCTCACATTTGGCACTTAAGTTGGCAAGATGAATCTAAAGTTAGATAACCTTAAAGGCTTCTTATTCGCTGTAAGGCCGAGGATCATAAGGTGCCGCATTAAAACCTACATATCTGTTGTTCTTTCGATGCTGGAAGCCGGTACCTGGAGCAGTATTATAATAAATAACTCTTCTGATACCAAATGGGTCTATGTAACCGAAGCTACCCGACCTTTTGTCGCCTGGCTGAGTCTCTTCTTCGTGATAGGCTCTTGGTATGTAGTACCTAAAACCGTCATTAGTAACTGATACTCCATCGTATGTTGGGTGTTTAGAATCTGATCCAACGTACGGTCGTCCGTTTCGATCTAGTGGATATGTAGGTCCATTCTGGAATCTGTATGTATCTTTCACTTGCCGGACGTAGGGATTGTATTCCAAAGAGTTGCTGTCAACTTCCTGCGAAGAACCAAAATCAGCTGGCGAATAAGACGGAGAATATATGACAGGACGTTCAGTCGTGCCAGCTATAGGTGTAGGAGAAGATCGGTAGTAAGGAACTTCGGTTGGTTGTACAAGAGGAATTGGTGTAGACTGGATTTGATTTCCATTAAAGTAACTGAAGTTAAGAGGAACATATCCATAAGCTGTTTTAGGAAATGCATTGGGTGTAATTTGCACAACTGGTTGTTCTGTTGAAGATAAGTGACTGTAAGGACTTGGTGACAATGATTTTAATGACAAATCAAGATTTAAATACTGTGACCCTGATATGGTTGATATCGAACTGGGTCTATAAGTACTAGATGGAACAGTCGTAGGGGTTGTGCTAGGAATATAAAGCGAACTTGGATTGTAACTCGAAAAAGATACTGGCGAAGGAGTACTACTAGGTACATATGTTGATGATGGAGTACTGCTTGGAATATAAGGACTATAGCTTGAGGAAGGTATTGGAGATTGAGTACTACTAGGCACAAAAGATACACTATTATATCCTCGAATAGGACCTCTGTACGAATCTGGACGAGTTTTGACTAAGGTTCCAGCAGTAGCAGGATACTTCTTCGCTGATTTTATTGCATCTCCAACATTCATGTTTCTTCCAACAAAAACATTTTTGGTTTTAAGTATTCGATAGCCCTCGTTATCTGCGATGTAGTCACGTTGCCGTAACATGCCTGAAAAGAGAATTATTTTAGTACAGTGAAGATAATTTGTTAAAGCTATATTGTATTGTATTTGATGTATTTAAATATATGTCTTATTTAACAAAAGAATTTAATATACTTGAAAGCGAAGTAAGAAGGACGGTCAATAAACTCAAATTTAACAAGGTACCAGGTCCAAGTATAATGACAGCAGAAATTCTCAAGGCTACAGAATAATCTGACTTAATCTAGAATTACAAAAATACACAAAAAAGGCAGCTATCATAAATGAGATAATTACAGAACTATTTTCCTTCTCTCATATGCCAGCAAGATAATGTTACAAATCATCAGTGATAAATTATTTTTTTTTAAAGAGAAATATCAGAAAAATAATCCAGAGGCACACAAGCATATTTTTGATCTCTTTACAGTCTTTACCCTCTGGAAGGAGTGTAGTTGCCGTTCCTGATATCGTGTATGGTTTGTCTCCATATATTTATGTCTCTGATCACTTCCATTATACCATGCGTAGGTCTTTTGCATTAATAGAGGAGTACAAAAAAGGTAATTTGGAAATAAACATAAAAAAGACCGAATATATGTGTATCGGTGGGACACAGCAGGACCTTACACTGGGGAATGGCGAAATTATTAAACATTGCGACGCATATAAATACCTGGGTATGACCATCACACAAGAAGGAAACGTAGACCGGACGATAGAAGAAAGAAACAACCAGGGAAGAAAAGCAATTACCCTTCTCAATAGCATACTGTGGGATCAGGCAATATCAAACAACAACAAACATAGAATATACAATACAATAATTGTTAAGAGTATAATCACTTACAGCAGTGAAGTATGGCAAATAAAAGAAAGATACAAGAGAAAACTTGAAGTAACAGAAATGGATTTCTGGAGGCGCTCAGCAGGAAAATCAAGACTAGAAAGGGTAACCAACAACAGAATTAGGGAAATAATGAATGTGAAACACACAATAGTAGATGACATTAGTACCAAACAGCTTAGATGGTATGGACACGTACAAAGAATGTCCGAAGAACGACTCCCGAAACAAATCCTAACGTGGACCCCTCATGGTAGACGAAAAAGAGGAAAACCCCGCCTTAGTTGGAGAGAAGGCATAAATCGAAGTATGAGAGAAAGAGAAAAATATATATATATATATATTATATATATATATATATATATATATATATATATATATATATATATATATATATATATATATATATATATATATAGATCTTTTGCAACTTTCTGTGATCTGGTCAATTGATCTCGTTAAAGATCTTATGCATTATTACATTTTATTATGCAAGGCAAAATCCGAGGAAAGTGAAATGTGGAAAGACGAAGAATATCCTGGCTTAAGAACTTAAGGGAATGGTTTGAATGCAGTAGTGCAGAACTTTTTATAGCGGCAGTCAACAGAGTCCGCATAGCCATGATGATTTTCAACCTTAGATAGAAGATGGAACTTAAAGAAGAAGAAGAGATCTTACTCGTGGTCTTCGGCCATACCTTCCCTTGAAAATTGGACAAATAATGGCAAAATCAAGGAAATTTAATAGTCGGTTCTACAGTTGCTTCATAGCTTATCACAAAGCGTTCGATAAAATCAAATTACATTATACAGGGTGATATTTAAGTAATTGTACAAATAGAAACTGTTAATTCTACAGTTTAAAACATTACGATTTAAGCCAAATTGCTTTAATAAAATGTTGATATTTAGAAAGATACAGGGTGTTAAAGTGCAAATTTGAAATTTTATTTTTTGCTATAACTTTCATGTTTGTAGACAGTTATGTATAAAAATGTACAACTTAGTACTTTTAAATATGAGAAATTAAAATTTGATGCACAATTTGATGTAGCTGATAGAGGGCGTCACATATGCCACATATGTGGCAATAATTTGCACTTAACATTTTTGCTCTTTAAGATATCTGTATTTGTAACAAAAAATTTTAAAGATACATTAGTTTAACAAAAAAAAACACACTTGTTAATAACTTCAAAACTCAACAGTTTTCTTAATAATACCATTTTACAAATCAGCTGCATAATTCTGATGAAGGCAAATACTCCAGCCAACGAAGGAAAACTAGACAAAAACATCTATTCTTCTGAATTTTGGTATAAAATACCTTTAAATAAAGTTAGTAGTTAATGAAATATCAAATAAAATAAATATATCAGCAGGATAATTAATAACACGATTTCACAAAATAACATAATAATAGGATTTTACATCAAACATTTTACGTTTTATGTTAAATTAAAGGCAGATCAAAACATTTTGTTTACAAACCAAATTAAGAAATAGTTAAACTAAATAACATAACTTTTTTTCAAAGTAAGTGTTCACCATTTTCTTCAATTCATTTGTCAATATTTTCCATACAAGATCGTCTCATATTAAATAACATCATTGGTTCTAAATAAACTGCTGCAGTATTTATTTATTCCCACAGTTGGTTGCAAATGTTTATGGGATTCTTATAGACATGTTGTTTTAATGCGCCCCGTACACCAAACTCAAGCGCATTAGATTCTGGGCTACGTGGTGGCTAGAATGTATAATGGATGAATATATTACATAATTACTTTTGGATACATATCCAAATTTTATGGTATATTATGGAACTACATCTTATTTGTTGCAGAGGTTAAATAATGTATTAAACTGTGATATATCTCGTTCATTGGTTACTTATATACATACGGAATAAATTATTGATGGCATTACTTATTTATATGATTACGCTACAGCTTATGAATAACTATAATTATATCTCGAACAAATGTACTTACATGATTTACTAACGAACTAATATTATGCTGAACTAAATTGCCTGTATCTTTACCATATTTATAAGAATATCAGTTACTAATTCAAACGATAATATTTTGTAAAAATGCTTTAGTCTTTAAGTTTAGATTTGTAGCAAAAATATTATGAAACAAGACACATATGTGTTATTCAGTACCTGTGCTCTAGTTTCTAGTTGTCCTAATAAAAATGGGTAAATAATTTACGTAATGAATAGTAAGTATTATTTTGGGATTTTTTATAAATTATAATTATATCAATATCTCACCACATTGCCAAGGAATATGACTACCACGACCAATTAAACGTTTAGAAAAGTTGTATTTAAGTATGTTCTCATTACCTTCTCTCTAGAATGTGGTGGTGTCCATCTTGCATAAACTACAAAGATGAAAAATTTTTTCTCCAATAAGACATTTATCACCCATAACAAAGCATTTTGTGAAATAGCATTATTATCTTTGAGTTATTTTATTAAGAATAAACTATGAATTATAATACGGAAAGATCGACGGAAGAATTGGCAGAAAGAAATACTTATGGCTCCGAAACCTTCGTCAATGGACTGGCTTATCAGCAGATGAATTATTACATGCCGCGCAAGATCGAGACCGATATCGGCAAATCGTCATGGAAGCTACCCACGCCCAAAACTTGGACACGGTACTCAAAGAAGAAGAAGAATGAATTATGCTTAAATACGGGTATTCAGTGCTTTACCGTACAAGTATCACAACTAAGAATTATTATGCAACTAACTTTTAAAATGCGATTATCTCGAAAACGGTTGAATTTTGAGGTTATTAATAAGTATACCTTGTTTTTCGTTAAACTAATGTATCTTTAATATTTTTTTGTTACAAATACAGATATCTTAAAGAGCAAAAAAGTTAAGCGCAAATGTATGCCACATATGTAGCACATGTAGCGCCCTCTATCAGTCACATTAAACTATGTATAAGATTATAATTTATCCTACCCAAATGCATTCAATTGTATATTTTTGTATTCACTTGTAGTTCACTTCCTAAGATTAGCCAGACAGGATATACGAATACGTCCAGGGCATTTCTTACCCTCAATTTTGCCTTGTACAATCAACTGTAAAAGCCGGTATTTATTATTATGCATGATGTGGCCAAAGTAAGCCAATTTTCTGTTATTTACGATGTTGATAATTTCTTTGTCTTTTCTTAGCCTCTGGAGAATAGTTATATTATTTGTGTTGTGTATACATGAGACCCTCAACATACGTGAGTAGTACCACATATCAAATGCCTATAATGGTTTTATGGCATCTTCTATAAGGCTTCAGATTTCTACTCCATAGAGGAGGACACTAAAGACGTAACATCTAAGAATAATTCTTACGCGTATATTGATACTTAAGGATAGGTTGCAGAAAATCTTCCTGAGGCTGTTAAAAAAGCTTCTAGCTTTTTCAATACGAGTTTTTATTTCGTAGTTGTGATCCCAAGTATCCTTAATGTTGCAGCCCAAATAGCATATTTTTTCCACTCTTTCTAACAGCGTATCGCCTATTCTAATGTGGGCGTTTATGTTGGTGTTCTTACTAATGATTATTATTTTTGTCTTTTTGCAATTAAGTTTTATGCCGTATTTGTTACATGTTTCTACAACGGTATACATCATCCTTTGGAGCCCCTGCGCACTATCTGCCAGCAACACTGTATCGTCTGCATATCTAATATTGTTTATAAGTTGGCCTTTTACAGCAATCCAATCTTCTGATTCGTCCAATGCCTCTCTAAAGATGTTTTCAGAGTATATGTTAAATAATGCCGGTGACAATATGCAACCCTGTCTAACTCCTTTTTCGATTGTGACGATCTCGAACAGTTCATTTTCTAATCGCACTGTTACTTTTTGTTAGAGATATACGGTTAAGATCAGTGTTATATCCTTAACATCGAGTCCTGATGTTTTAAGGATATCGATTAGTTTCTCATGTGGGACTATCAAATATATCTTTCGAAATCAATGAAACATGCGAACATATCGCAGTTGACATTCCCGGATCTTTGTATTAGAACTTGCAAACTAAAAAGTGTTTCCCTTATTCCAAATCCTACTCTGAATGCAAATTGAACTTTACCCAGGTGTTCTTCTAATTTGGTGTATATGCACGAGTGAATGATAGTAAGGAGTACTTTAAATACATGGCTCATCAAACTAATAAATCTATGTTCTTCACATTTTCTAGCGTTGACTTTTTAGGAAGTGTTATAAATATTGATAGTAATAAGTCTTTTGGTACAGACCAGTCTCGTAGATGTTGTTGAATAGCTGTGTAAAAGCTGTGATTTGGCGCGCTTCTAATAGCTTAAAATTTCATCATGCACCTCATCAGGTCCTGGTGATTTCCCATCTTTAATCCGCTTAATGGCCATAGTTACTTCTTCGTTTGTTATTTCTGGGCCGTAGGGATGTTTGTTTCAATCGGACTTTGTCTTGCAACTTCAAGTAATTCTTGCATATATTCTTTTTCCATCGTTGTAATTTGTCTTCAATGCTAGTCAAAATCTGTCCAATGTTTACAACTATAGCATAATGTGCATATACAGCATAATGTGAAGGTGAACCATCCTGTTGCAACCATGAACTATCATCAAAACCTCCAGGATTACGTCTGCTGGGAAACAAATTACGTAAAGTAGGTACAAGATAACCCCTTAAAAACTCAAGGTACGTTGCCCCGTTTAAATTGCCTTTGAAAAAGTAGGGTCCGATGATTCGATTTCTTACAATTGCAGCCCATACATTTACCTTTGGCGAGTATTGTGTATGATGCTCATGTATCCAGTGGGGGTTTTCTTTTCCGAACAGGTGGATTGGTAGACGTGGACTTATTGAATGGCCAGCTAGGTCACCAGATTTCAATCCTTTGGATTATTATATGTGGGGCAATCTGAAGAATGTTGCGTATCAGACGAAACCAGGACATATTCAAGAATTGCAACAGAGAATTCGGACAGCAAAAAACAATATTTCTCAAGACACAATAACAAGGTTCAACCAGAATTTGTACAACGTTTGGGTTACTGTCAAATACAGCAAGGGCTGCAGTTTGAACATTTATAAAGTCATGTATTTTATCATATTTTGTCCGCTAGACAATAAGTATTTTTGATAATATTGTTAATTTAACTAACGCCTTACTTTATGAACACACACAAAACTATTGTATTTTTGTCCACCCTGTACCAATTTGAATCAACATGTGATACATTGTTAGAATCAGCTCAGCTAGAGTAATTCGAAAATTGAGACAAAATGGGGGTGTTCTATTAAGAAAAAATGACGGTGACGTCATTACTCGAAAGTAATTCACCCTATATATTAGAATATTATTTTAAATTGTAAATTAAAATTAAAAATCGACGTGTTTAGGATTATTTCTTAAAATGCTCTGTTTAGCTTAAAAAGAATTTGTTCCATACTTTACGGATACAGTGTATAATATTATTAAAGAAAAAATGTGGAAAAAGGTTTGTGTATATAAAAAATGTAAGTTTACCATCAGCATCAATCCAGGCATATGTGCCAACCACGGTGCCATCTTCGAGTCGTTTTTCTTTTCGGTATTGGCCACTATCGGTTTGGTATCGGAAATATCGCTCAGGTCCTTCGTCAGTTTGGATGTGGTATTGGTGTGGAGACGGCGTTTCCCATGCCGATATGTTAGCAATACATATTATATATACCACCTGTAATTAAAAAAATATAATTAGAATTAAAATGTATTAATATGTCTTCATAAAAAGTAAATTTTTTATGGTCATAGGAGAACAGTTTTTGAATATTTAAGATTTAGCAAAGTAGGGAATTTTAATATATTGGTCAATTCTAATGTATTGAATATATTCATAGTGCTTTTCTTAATTGATGGATTCGACCGTTACTTGATGGAAATTAATTTTATGTAGCAATAAAATACTGAAAACTTTGTTTTCAAACTTCCACAAAATTTATTTTAATCTCGTATCACTACAGCTGTTTCGGCTCATTGCCTTTCTCAAGTGATCTATTTTTGGCATGTGTTTACACTTTATAGTCTCTAATGAAATAGGTTGAGGAGGAGAGAACGGGGGGATAGCTTAGGGCCTCTATTTTGAATGTGAAGAATTTTAAATTCGCCATTAAACGAATGATTGTGATCTAGAAGGTGAAGTGCGTATGTAGAATCTGTTTTTCTATTATTGAAAGCCCTTTTATATTCTGCTATTCGTTTATTAAAGTTTGTATCAGTTTGACCGATGTAAGTTTTTGGGGAATCGCCAAATTTAAGTTTGTACTTAAACTTAAGTACAAACTGTGTAAGTGATTTTTATTTTGGCTCTTGTTGTTTTTGATATATTTTCCTAGGTTGTTATTTGTTCGGAAAGCTGCTGTTATTCCTTTCTTTTTTATGTGTTTGGCTATTTTTGTTGATATTTTGCCTGTATATGTAATCGAGCAGAAGGTACTGTGTTTTTTCTCTGGTGGTGGAAATACTAATTTCAGGGCTTTCTTGCGTAGTTTTTGATTTAACATTTTATTAATTGTTTGTTCGTTGTATCCGTTGTTTACTGCTATTTGCTTAATGATATTTAATTCTGTATTAAAGTTGTATTTTGACATCGAAATTTCTGTTAATCTATGTAACATACTATGATAGGCTGCCAGTTTATGTTGTGTTGGATGGGATGATGAATTGTGTATAGTCGTGTCAGTGTGGGTAGGTTTATGAAATATGGAGACGTCATGTTTGTTTTTAAGTCCGATAATTTTTAAATATTAAAAAGTTATGGATTGATTTTGTTCTGTTTCTATTGTAAATTCAATATAACTATGAAGTGAATTAATAAACGATAAAAATTGATCGAGTTGCCTGTTAGTTACTGTGAAACCTACCAATACGTCGTCTACGTATCTCCACCAATATAAAAACTGTTTAAATACGGGATGTTTTAAAATCTTTGTGTCTAGAGGATCCCATTGCTATCAGATATTTTTATGGTGTATATCTCCGATCGATATATAAGATTGTTTTATGACACAACTATGAAAGATGGTTGCATTTTACTGGTCAATTTAAAAATAATTCGTTTACTTTATTTTTTTTTTAATTTACGCATTATTACATATCATATCTTTTTCATCTTCTCCCTATAACATACAAAATATTTTCTTTACAAGATTCATGTCAACTGACATACTTTAGTGAAGATCATCATTATCATCAGTAGCTCGACAACGTTTTCTGGGTCCTGGCTGGTTCTAGGATTTTCCGCCATTCTGTTGGCATCATTCTGTTCCAAATAGAATTCAAATTTCCAGATACCTATTGTATACCAAAGATTAACACTGTTCCCCCTTGGACTGTTCTCATCCCATCCGTTAATACGAAACTCTCCATATATAAAAAAGCAGATAACCATCCCAAATCATTATATCAACATGTGCTCCAAGAACTTAAGACATACAGTAACCATAATCTTATATATACCAATGCTTATAAAACTACTGAAGTAGTGGAAGCAGCATTTATGTCTAATAAAACAAAAATATTATTGAAACTCCCTAAATTAACATCCATTTATACAGCCAACTTAACCGCTATTCTCTATGCAATAAATTTTGTGATAGAAAATAGTATCAAAAACCCTGTCATTATTACGGATTCCCTAGGTTCTTTAATTGCCCTAAATAACTTATGTCCTACCCATCCAAGTCTTCTACTTCTTAAATCAGCATTAAACCAACTGAAAACTATGAAAATAAATGTCAACTTTGTATGGATTTCTTCCCATATGGGAATTACTGTTAATGAAGAAGTAGATTCCTTGGCAAAACTAGCAATCTCGAGTCCGGAAGCTGTAGAAATTAGAAGCATTCCACATCTAGATATAAAACCTATAATCAAGAACTTAATAATCAATGAATGGCAGACCAAGTGGAATCAATCAGTGACGGAACTGATATGAAAAATTTGACATCATACTTATATTCCATAATTGTACTAAATAAATTGTAAAACTTTAAATTGTACAAGGCAAATGACCCTATGAGGTTGAGGCATAAATATATAACAAAAATAAATAAAAAAAAATCATTGAATTAAAAGGGGAAAAAAATGAAATTTCAAACAATGTTTATACTTTTTTGCCCCCTTATTTGTGTTCACCTAACGGACAACACTTTTCTGAGGCATTAGTCATGATACTAAGATAAGAAGATAAGATATTGCGCATAAGTCGTGACGTCATTGGAGAGTTTGACGTTCGAAATGTCAGTTTTTTGTATGTATCAATAAATAATCTTTAATAAATAGTTTGGAGATATCCTTATGTGCACGATTATTGTAATTATTAAACCTCTTAACTTATTTTCGTCTAGTAATTTCATTACAGAATGCATACAAATCCCATTTAACTTTAACAAGAATTCAAATTCTACTAGAATTTAACTATAAGACTAACTAACAAGATCCTATCTTGTTAGTTATAGTATCATGGCATTCGTTCATATAACGTCAAATTACTCTGGCCGCAGACCAAATTTTTTGAAGGGAAAAAAATACTTTATTATTTATCTAGGAGAAAAATTCCTTTGACTTTATAAAGGTCGATTCAGACACATCAGTCACGTCTCGTCACAGTCCTGGCGCGGAACCGAACAATCCGTTATACAAAATATTCTTTAATATGAATATGGCGCCGGCATTTACATTCATCAGTTGACGAACAGTTTACCATCTGTCAGATAATTAATAGTTCTGTGACCAAACAGGACCGGTTCGGCGGCGAGACTGTGACGGGACTGATGTGTCTGAATCGACCTTTAAACGTAAAAATGTCACCTTCTATTTGACGTATTATTAATTGATATACGAGTATCATGATCATAAGCTATCTAAAACAGTTCCTAAAAGTTTGAAATAAAATAAGAAAGAAGCAATTAAGTAAAAAGACGGCATGATGTATTAATAACGTAATTTTATTATCAATATCATATTAATTTTCCTTGGAATAATATTACATTCTTTTTTAAGGATATCATTGTATTTATTTGGTTTGTTTGTTTGCTAACAGTATTGAAAAGTGTCAACTAATTTAAAAACAAATTTTGACGTCTGTCATAAAATTTTTATTAATTTGTAACTTTTACATTTTAAATTAATATAAAAAGAACGAACCACGTTAAAAAAAATATAATAGTAGATATGATAAATAAAATTTTAAAATTAATCCAAAATGTTTTTTACTTAATTTAAAAACATTTTGACAGTTGTTGTCAAAAGTTTAAGTGAATCTAAATTGAACTGGACTAATTCTATTTTTGCCAAAAATATGTTTTATCTAGAAATCTTTGAAATAAATGACATTTTTCATTTTTAAGATTCTGAACTGTCGCATTTAATAATTTTATCGCAAAATTAACAAAAATGCTCATTCGAAATATCAGAAATATTCATCGTGCTCCATATTTGTATAAGTGCCACGTAAGTTTTATATCTTCAGCACAATGTGATAGAAATCCTCAAGAAGTATTTACAGCAAAAACGCAACCATCAGATGCTAAAGGAAAGGTACCTCCTAAGGAAAATACTATAATTGCAAACCCGTATTTAACACAGAAACCTGAAAAATTAACTGTAAGTACCGATACAATATCTTTTGATGAAATTCCCGGCCCTATCAGCTTAAGGCTGATATCAAAATTTTGGAGTTTAATACCAATTATGGGAACCGAATTGACAGTAACGGTTGTACAGTATTTGTTAAGTGGTGGAAAATTCTTCAGGGGAATACTTAGTTGGGGTGGAAACGCACCTTTTTTTAAGAAATTTTTTGACGTATATGGACCAGTTGTCAGATTGCACGGCGCATTTGGCAGTGACGTTGTATTACTAAGCAGACCAGAGCACGCTAGTGCAGTTTTCCAGACTGAAGGCCCCTATCCAATCAGGTCGTGTTTAGACTCCGTAGAGCAGTACCGCTTGCAATGTAAAAATTATAAGCAAGCTGGACCTTTTCTTACTCATGGGCCGGAATGGGAAAAACTACGAAAATCTGTAGAAGTGCCATTGCAATCAATTGTTAGTGAACAACAAGTTAGCATTGATAAGACTAATTCTGATTTTTTACAAAGAATGATCTCTATTAGAAATAAACAAGAAGAAATGCCCGCAAATTTCCAAACTGAAATATATAAATGGACCTTAGAATGTCTTTGTTCAGTGGCTCTGAATAGAAAATTAGGATTTCTAATTCCGTATGGTGTCGTTCCTGCTTCTGATCCAGGTAGGCTTTTGGACGGGATATTTGGGGCTACCGCCGCTATCAAGAGACTAGAATATGGTTTCCACTTCTGGAAATTTGTAGAGACACCTTCATGGAAAAGTCTGGTTAAAAATTGCGACATGATTGACAGCGTCCTATCAAAATATATTGAAGCAGCTAAAGACAGTTTAAAGGACAAGAAAGCAAAAAATCAAGGCTTGGAAAAACCAAGCTTTATTGAACACCTATTATTAAAAGAAAATATAATTGGTGAGGACATCATGACTGTACTACTAGATATGTTCCTTATTGGAGCAAATGCGACTGTTCATTCTGTGGCTTTCTTCTTTTATCATCTTGCTAGAAATCCTCGGTGCCAGATAAAACTCTACCAAGAAATAAAGAACCATTCAGGACCGGTAAGTTATGTACATACTTTTGCTCTTAGTTTTTTAATTTATTTAAATGTCATAACAAAAATATCTAACGTTGACCATCATCCTAGTGAAGGAGATTTTTTACTATATAAAAAATATTTTTTACTATATAAAAAATGTATGCTGCTTTTTGGTACATTTTCTCCTTAAACCCATCTGAAACAATTTTATTTGCCTACTTATTTGGGCGTTGAAATCGTCTATAATGAATATTATATCTTCTTTGAGGATTTTCTCGGCGTTTTCTTCTAGTGTTTCATAGAACAGTTGTTTTGTCAAGTCATTACTGTATTATGTGGATTTATAGGCATTTCCGTTTTTTTCATTTTTCTGAATATACGTTGACTCATATACTTCTCCTTTGCATTAAGTCTTCTTTTTCAGAAAGTTATTCTTTCGTTTTAATTCTGTCACTTTTTTTGTCTAGTTTTTTGGAGCATTTTAAATTTCTGTGAGTTTATTTTCTATTACACTTTATTTCAGCACCTTTTCGTTTATTATTTCTTGTTTCTGGTATCTCATTTTTACTTTTTTAGTTTTACTTCTTTTCTTCTTTCTTGTTTTGTGATTGTTTCAATGTCTTTTTGTTTGTGCTGCATCTTTATATTTAAGCTCTTTTCCATCATTTTTTGTATGTGTTGTCTTAGTTTTTCTTTATCTTCTAGGTCTATCCCACTTCCTGTTAAGAATAATTGCCTAATTTTCGATCTTCTCCAATCCATTCTTCATAAGTGTTAATGTGTTTTTGAATTGTTAGTTTCCTTTTTCCCATTTTTGTTCTTTCTATTTTACTTTTTTTTAAATTTCTGTTTTTACTTTGTTTTGCTTTTTGAAGTTTCTACTTCATATCCTTGATTTCGTCTTTAATTTTTATTTTACTTTTCAAGATATCTTTAATTTCTTGCCTCATCTAGCGTAGTAATTTCTTCATCTTTTCCATGTCCGTTAATATTGTACTTTCTGTTTCTGTTTTTTTTGTAGTTTATTATTATTTTTGTTTGCTTTCTAGGCTATTTTGTAAGTGTATTTTATTTAGGGACGGTTCTTGGATCAACATTTTTTCAATTCCAAGCTACTGCCTGCGATATTTTAGTTGGGTTGTTTTAATGGTGTTCCAGTACTCACCAGGAAGTTCCTTGCCCACTATATTTCGAAGTTTAGCAGTCAGGAAGGAAATCTGTCCTCGTCAGTGGTATATCTTTTTAAGAACCTCCTTTGATCTGTTTGAACTTTTTATAGTGGAAACAACGTATTTGTTGTTACTTAAGGCTATCCTATCATGGATAGTAGGGCTGTTTGCTATTTATTGTATTAACGCTAACTTATAATCACGTTTTGTGCCCATGATTCTCTTCAAGATCTTTCTCTCAGTAGTCATGATTTGGTTGACTTGTCTTTTGTATACTGTCTGGATCTTTTAACCTTTTAACATTATATCATCCGCCGTTGACCATTTGTTAATTGTATTTTATACAGAAGTCCTTATAGAGTCATACTGTCTGAGCCAGATAAACTCTGCTTTGAAAGAGGTTATCTCTATACCTCTTTCCTTTTTCCGGACTTGGAACCAGTTGCATCGGCTATAGAACTACCTAGTTTACCCCACAACCAACGCTTGATTACCATAATCATCATCATCATCATCATCATCATCATCATCATCATCATAAGTGGCTCGATAATCCGTTGTGGATCTTGGCATGCTCACAAAGCCACCCTTGTCGATTCCTGGCAACTTCCCTCTATCTTCTAACCCTTAGAATCTGTAGGTCTTCTTCAACATCATCAATCCATCTCATTCGTGGTCTACCTCTGCTTCTTGTGCCCTCTGGTTTTAAAAATGTTAAATTTCTTCCAGTATTCGTGATCTGATATCCTAGTAATGTGTCCAGCCCATCTAAGACTTTGTACTTTAGCGAATTTTATAATATCTGGATCGGTGTATAACTGATATAGTTCTAAGTTGTATTTTGGACGCCATAGCCCATTTTCATTTACGGCCCCAAAAATCTTTCTAAGAAATTTTCTCCCAAAAATACCAAGAAGTCTTTCATCATTTTGAGATAAGGTCCACCTTTCAGCCGCATATAGCAAAACCGGTCTTATTAAGGTCTTGTATATATTAAGCTTTACTGCATGTTTTATATTTTTATTTTTTAAATGTTTCTGGAGACCGTAAATAGTTCTGTTTGCTATTGCTATGCGTCTTTTTATTTCGTCACTTGTGGTGTTTCTTGCGTTTACTGGCGATCCACGATATTTAAATTATTTGACTTGCTCAAAAGTATGGTTGTTAATTTAAATTTTGTTGGATATTTTGAGGGTTTTTAGAAACACAACATATATTTGGTGTTTTCATCGTTTACCACAAGTCCCAATTCACTTCTGCCCACTATAACTATATCGTCAGCGAATGCGAGAATTTGCGTCGATCTCTCAAAAATAGTTCCATTCATTCGAATATTTAGTTGTCTGATTACCTTTTTCAAGGCAACATTAAAGAGAAGACATGCTAACGCGTCCCCCTGTCTTAGACCATTATTAATGTCAACAAACGTAGAGTTTTCTCCTTCAATACTAATGCCTGAGCCTATGTCTTGCATTGTGAGTTGGGTCAACTTAACTAACTTAGGTGGGATCTCAAATACATATGCATTATATAATGCAGTTCTTTTCAAACTGTCATAGGCTGCTTTGAAGTCAATGAAGAGATGGTTTGTATCTATGTTATATTCTAGTGACTTTTCTAAAATCTGCCTGAATTTGATGTGCTTGAATTTGATGTGTAGTTGACATTCTACCAGTAAATAGCCAATATCCTTTGTAAAATGTTAAAAGTCTTTCAAATAATACATTGCTGAAGATTTTATACGCAGATACTAACAGAGTAATGGCTTTATAGATCTTACACTAGAGTTGATCACTCTTTTTATGCAACGGACATATTATTCCCTTCAGCCACTCTTCTGGTACCCATTTATTCTGCCATATAAGTGCTATTAGTTTATGGATTTCTGCGAAAAGTTGATCACCATCTTTTTTATACATTTTCAAAGAGATTTCATCGATTCCTGGGACTTTATTTTCTTCGAGTTTTAAGATCGCATTTGACACTTCTTCTCTTGTTGGGTCTTCAATGTGTAGTTAACTTTGTAGATTTTGTTGTTTTTTTTTATGTTGTAATCTCCGCCAATATCATTTATATTTAGATATTCGCCGAAATGTTGTGCCCATCTGTTAAGAAATGAGTTTTTATCATGTAAAATCTCACCGTTAGTGTCTATACAAATGTTTAATCGTGGTTTAAATTCTCGGCGGCTAGTATTTAAGGATTTGTAGTATTTCCTCAATTCATTTTTATCGAATAAACTTTGTATTTTACTGAGAGTGTTTTGTGCGTATTTCCTCTTCTTACGTCGATGGACACGTTTTTCCTCTATTCTAAATTCTCTATACTATTCTCTTTTTTTCCGTGTACAACCTGCGTCAATGGATTTTTGATATGTTGTGTTCTTTCTATTTGTGGCCACTCGCACTCATCATCAAACCAATGATTTCTTTTTCTGACTTGGTTTTGCCCAATATTTCAACGGATTTCTGTAATACTATATCTCGTATATTTGCCCATAGTTGGTTAATATCTTCTTCAAGATTTTTGTCCTTATTTGGTCTTCTATTTGCTGCCTGTATACATACTGTCTGATTACCATAATACTTTGCTCCTTTTAACGTTGATTTTTTCTATTTTTCGTGACAAACTCTTATACTATAACCATTAAATAGCAATGGTTTTATAGACGGACGTGTAACTCAAAATAACTATTTTAATTTATTACTTTTTTATTGGTTTTAATACTAAATAACGTATTTTTATGTTTATTAGGTAACCGTTGAAAAATTGAAGCAATTAAAGTACCTACAAGCCTGTCTTAAAGAAACCTTACGTTTAGAACCACCAATTCCGATTATAAGCCGCGTCCTCAGCAACGATGTCGTCTGTCACCACTACCGCATTCCAAAAGGCACTCACATTCTCTACGGTACTCACATGAACAATATGCGTGAAGAATATTTCGAAGACGCTGCCAAATTTAAACCGGAAAGATGGTTTGAGGATGAAAAAGGTGGATTCGGCAACGAATATCAAACTTTTGCTTCGATGCCATTTGGTTACGGACCCAGGAATTGTTTAGCCAAAGAAATGGCTGAGAATTGGGTTGCTTCTTTGATGTTGAAGGTTTGCCAGATGTTTAGAATTGAGTATAACTACGGCGATATTAAGAGCTCAAACGAGTTGATGGCAGCTCCAACAAAACCTCTTAAATTTAGACTTATAAATCGTGTTTAGATTTTTATTATTCGTTCGTATATTTTTTGGAAAAACTTATTTGTTCAGACATTAATAATTATTACAAAGTTTTTGTATAAAATATTGACGTGTTTGAGGATTCCTCTTGTAATACTTTTATAAATTGAATAAAAAATGTTATTGGAAAAATATATTATTTTTTTATGGAAAAAATAATCCTCTATTTCAAAGGTTTTATAGACCATCTTAAATACATCTTCTTATTCACTTATAAGACCAAAGCTAATTTGTTCATTATTACAATTTTCAACATATTTTTTTTTAAATTTCATTCCTTTTTTCTTCGAATGCACAGGGGCATATTTCCGCTATTCTGTTTATGGTGTCGATATCACGTATGCAGCAGTAGTTTTTCATGTTCTTAAGCCATAAATTTAAACATGTCCCCTTCAACTTTCTTCATAAGGTGATATTGAATAGCTTATATTAGGCATTTATAAGACTAATGTCCAACATTAAATCTTTCCGCTGTTTAACGAGATCTATATGTTCTATTTGGGTACTCATTCTTCTTAACACCTCTTCATTGGTAACATGATTTATCTGTGGAATTCTGAGCAACATGTTAAGACTTTACATTTACAAAGCTTTCACATAGTTTAGAGATCTTGGTTTAAGTGACCAGGTATCACTTTGATACATCAGGATGGGCCAATAAATATATCATGTTAAGAACCGAGCCCAAAAACTTCATTTCAAAGGAAGTGGTTACTAAATTTGCCAAACTTATGCCCAAAAACTTCATTTCAAAGGAAGTGGTTACTAAATTTGCCAAACTTATTTTTAGCTATTGCTAGTCTTATCGTATTCAGATTTGCTGTTTAAGGTAGCTCCAGTGTATTTAAATTTTTTAATCCATTATATAGCATGATTTACTGATAACTGGACTTCCTTATGGGGTGGTCTACTGATTATTGTCAACTTTTTTTCAATATTGATATAAATTCAGTACTCCTCTTACACGCTCATTTATTCGATAGTACAACTTTATAAGAATATCCAGTTTAAATTTAAGACTGATCGAAGCTAAATTAATGATGGTAAAGGCATTTAGGAGTAAGTGAGTTGAGTGACGGAGGTGAGTAGTGAGGAGAGTGAGTGAGGTGAGTTAAGCCCAGTACACATATGCTAGTAAATTGGAAAAAAAAGAAGGATCCATAGAAGGCATTCGGAATGAAATCAACAAGCAAATATTGGCTTTTATTTTATTTTTTTTATTTATATTTTGGCCTTTATTCCCATTATAGTAATACTTTCACCCATTTTCTCTTGAATTTTTGTGTAAGCATTGTCACGTGCTATTTTATTCTTATATAGAGATGATTTAGAATTTAAAACACACTCCAATTCTATATTACATAGCAATAAATTTAATGGTTTTTTCATTACCCCAACGAAAATTTTTTTAAATTAACAAGTTTAAAAATAAAACGATTAATTTTTATCACCAACACAACAAATCTAACTAAATTCTCTGCTAGCTACTGGCATGCCCGTAGCGCTAGCGCGCGTTCACACATGCCAGTGACACTCTCCACGCATGCGACTTGTATCTCACAGCATGCCACTAGCAAGAAAAATCAAATTCTTTGCGAGTATCTAGCATGTCAGGAAATAGCATGCCAGTTAACGTACACATTTGCCAGTACTCCAAGCTAGAGCTTGCTAGGTAGTGGTATACCATTGTGCTAGTATCAGGCATGTGTATCTCCGGCTTTAGTGAGGTATAATAAGTGAGTGAAGTAAGTGAGAACGGTGTGAGTAAGGGGAGTGATAGGGCTGTGTGATTGAGCTGAGTGAGGTGAGTAAGTAAGGTGAGTGACCTTGTCGAGTGAGTGAGGTATGTGACCTTGGCAAGTAAGTGAGATAAGAGAGTGAGGTGAATGATCACTCACATAGAAATTGGAATAAGTACAGTGTCAAGTTCTTATAATTATGCACCCGCGGCAGCTAACAATTGAATTACTAGAGCAAATAAAAAGGCAACAACAAAAAACGCAGAGTTACAGTTATTTATAAAAATGTAACATATTTGACGAACATGTGTAAATTTGTCAAGAAACAAGTAACAAAAAAAACAAATGTTTTATTTTCACAAAAATATTAATTAATTTGTCAACAGCCAGAAACTGAAATCTTTGTTGGAGCATAGTTGCCCTAAATGCTCCATTGCCATACTTTACTAACCAATGCCCATCTAAATTACAATTTAAAACTCGTAATGCAACAGTGAGATACAGAAAATCAATTAATACTGTGACCGTGGTGTGGGTTATTTTTTGTAACTCTGGAGCAAGCCTATCTTATTCCACCTAAGAATTTCTTGATTTGTATGAAGCACAATAATATCCGCAATCTCTGAAGAAAATAGTAAATTCCAGGATTCAATAGGGTTACCATTTCTTACTTCATTTTTTGGACCTGGCAAATGTAAAACAATGTTATCCCTTTTTGGACGTCTTTGTCGTGCTGGTACGTGTATGGGCCAATGATGACCATTTTTTCTGGCGATATTTCTTTGTGAGGTACTGGATTCTATTTTTTCTTCTTCATTATCGTAACTCTGTTAGTTATCAGTGTCAGACTTATGTTCAAGAACATAATCATTGTCTTCATCTGATGAAAAACTCCAAAAACATCTTCGATGATCTCAAGTTCATCTTAATTCGCCCATAGATTTTCAGCAACTCTAATTCTTTTGTTGTCAATGGATGCTGATATTTTTTTAGAATCTATCATACTAGCAAATAACAAAAAAAACCTTTAACTGCACACTGGAGTCCGAAGTACCCACAGCTCCACTGATATCGTCATGGTAAACTATAGAAAGTCAAAGACTGTCATAGCTGGGACATGTGCAGAGACAAAACGATGCAAAAACAATAAAGAAAATGTTACAATGGAAGCCCATAGGAAGGCGAAAAAAAGGAAGGCCCAGAATGAGATGGTTGGATGACGTGGAAGACGACCTGAAAACAATGAACATAAGACAATGGAGAAGAAGGTCACAAAAGAGATCTGAATGGAAGGACATAGCTAGACAGGCAAAGACCCATCCAGGGTTATGATGCCAAAAGAAGAAGAAGAAGAAACTATAGAGTTGCCAGATGATTTTTTTTAATTCCCTAGAATTTTTACCAAAATTTCTACCTAGATTTCCCTAAATATTGTTTTTTTAAATTGTTTGAAGAATAAATAAGGACTTTTGGTTATGAACGTTCATTCTGTGTAATTGGTATTATTTGTTGTTCGTGGAATTTGTGAGAAAAGAATATCAAAGTATAAAGCCGTGAATTCGCCGTTCGTGAAATACCACCACTCTATTACTACTCACTGACGGGGAATCACATGAACAGAATTCAGGGATTCCCCCAAATATTCCCTATTTATAAATATCACATCACTAATTCAATAACCTTTTTATATGTTATCGGCATGCAAGCTTAAAACTACACCCAAGGATGCTTCGGTGTTACGTGTTCTCTACTCTTCTGAATACAGAAAAAATATAAGATTTTACTGAAAAAAAAAACTAAAAAAAATATGTGTGACGTTTCACCTTTAAATATTGAATATAAACTTTTGTTACAGATTTGGACTTTATGGACACTATTAACGCTTCATTTATATTGATGCTATAAACCAATTTTTAGCTCTATGCGAACTTTTGTACCCTAATTTTTGGGCTAACTTGACCGGGTTATATTAAGTTATTGAACCAAACTGTTTACCCATTTAAAAAAATATTCAAGCCTGTTTTTAAATTAAAATTAATCATATAGTTTAATGTATCTTTGTACTTGTAACAATCAAATTTACTTAAATTTAATTGCTTTATGAGTTTAAATAAGCAATTTATTACACTTTTCCCTTTTTCGAACACTTCCGTCGATTATTGTAATTAAACCAAAGGTAAACGACAATAATTATTAAGTCACACATTTCTTCTAAGCCTCTAATCAGTTTTAAATTAGAAAGGGAATTTTGTGGGTACTGACTGTAAATCCTGGCACAAGAAATTAACAACCAGATCACTTTGTTTTTGTTAACGAGCTTTAAGTTTAATTGGAAATCTCTGATCTGACTTAAGAAATTGCTTAATTGTTTAATAATAAATTTGTATATGTTAATGCCCAGTCGTATTTAATTAAAAGAACATATTTCTTTTTTTTTAATTGAATGTTTGACAGCTCTACAAGTCTCATATAATGGGCGTGTATATACTAGTTTTGTCAATAATTGCTGGGTGGTCTAGATAATCGATTTCTTGTTTATTGTCAAGTATAATAGAGAAAGCAGTCATTAACTAGTATATAGGGATAAAAACAATCATGTGTAAAGTATATGTTTATATGACTAGAAGTTAGTTTTGCCTTTATATAGTTAAAAAACCTACAGCTAGTTCCAAATTCAGTGACGAGCAGTTTTAACTGAAAATTGTCCAGCATTATTTCGATTCTACGACCTAGTGGAGTATTTTTTTTATTCTTCTTCTTAGAGTGCCATCTCCCTACGGAGGTTGGCAATCATAATGGCTATTTTTATTTTAGAACTTGCTGCTCTAAACAAATCAATCGATCTGCATTGGTACCAATCACGTAGATTCTTTAACCATGAGTTCTGCCTTCGGCCAACAGATCTTCTTCCTTAAATCTTTCCCTGTATTATCAGTCTCAAAATTTCATATTTTGGTCTCCTCATCACGTGGCCTAGGTATTCCAGTTTTCTGGTTTGTATAGTGGTGATTAGTTCTGTTTCTTTACCAACCCTTTCCAGTACTTCTTTATTTGTAATTCTATCAGTCCATGATATTTTCAATACTCTGCGGTATAACTAGAATTCAAAGGCATCGATTCATTTTAAATTACATTTTTTTAATGTCCAAGTCTCAGCTCCATATAATAATATTGAAAATATATAACAGCGAATGGTACGTAGTCTGATCTCCAAATTTAGATTTTTGCACGTTAGGAGTGGCTTCATTCGTATAAATGCTGATCTGGCAATCTCTATTCGCCTGTTTATTTCTACAGTATGATCATTGGTTTCATTGATGTGATGTATATTTTGTGGCCTTTTTGTAATCAGCATGTACTTCGTTTTTTTAGCGTTTATAGTAATTCCCATCTCA